TATTTACTCGGTGTTTCAATAATTTTAAGCTTTATAAATCGTAGTGAGGATTATAGTAGCATTAACAATGCATATATCAGTCCGCATCGTGCTCTCTTGCCGTGCGGATCTATTTGCTTTTTGCTGAAGGAAGTGTTACTACTACCTAAAGCTACAACAAATTTAAACAGCACTTTTCAGTGCTCAACCTGTAAAAAATGTTCTACCTTGTTCAACTCTTATTCCTCTTCGATCCTTGTTTGGACCCTACCCAAGGTAATCCTTCTTGGATGTCGATTTGGAAAATTCCTCTTCGCTCCTTCAGATTCTTATAGTAATCTGCTTGGAAGTCGATTTGGATAAAAATTTACTGCCGCCATGGCGCCTAAACGCAAAAGAAAGGGGCAAACTCTTGACCCCCCTTCTGATGAAATTAATTTGAGTAATCAATTTGATTTGCTCACGGATGATGAGATTGATCCATCATCCAAGAAAAATTCTAGTAAACTTTCCCGGCTTAATGCCAAGAAGGAAAAGATTCCCCCTATTGTGATAACCACTTCCGATTTCCATGCTCTTCGCATGGATCTTTTGAATTTCTTGAAAGTTAAGTTTTCACTACAAATTGGACGTCGGGGTGAATGCCGTGTATTGGCTGAAACCTTGGACGGATTTAAATGTCTTCTCAAGTATCTTACTGAGAAGCAGCAAAAAATTTTTACTTACGACACCAAAACTGAACGTGTGTTCAAGGTTGTCATGAAAGGACTGCCCAGTGGTGAATCCCTGGATCAGATCAAAGATGAACTGGCAAAATTACTTGGAGTTGTGCCACTCCAAGTAATCAAAATGAAAATGAAATCCCGTCCTGGCGATTCGCGCAACGGGATTTCTAATGATTTTTATTTAGTTCACTTCAAGTCTAGTGAACTAAACAACCTTAAGGCCTTAGAAAAAGCTAGCCTTATGCTCCATGTCCGAGTGAAGTGGGAACACTTCAGGAAGACTGGAGGAAATTTCCAAAACCTCACCCAGTGCCGTAAATGCCAGGGATGGGGTCACGGAACTAAAAATTGCTACATGCCAGCTAAATGCATGAATTGTGGTGATTCCTCTCACGCAAAGGACGACTGTCCTGTGAAGGAAGATCCTAAAAAATTTAAATGTTCAAATTGTGGTGAAAACCACAAATCCAATTTTTGGGAATGTAAGACTCGCAAAGCGATCCTACAATCTCGTTCTAACCGACAGGTAGGAAACGCTCCACGTTTCCGACCAGGTACAAATTCCTCTGCTGTTAACAACGGTCAGCGAGGAACAAATTCTACATTCGTACCCGTAGGTACAAATATCACCCCTGCTTCAAATTTTTCATCTGTACCTACTCCCCTCGCTGCTAACAATGTTCAGCGAGTTAATGGAGCTACCTATGCTGCTATTGCAGCGGGTAGAAATCAAAATACTAACCAACGTTCTAACGGAAATTTTGACAATTTTGACTTAGGAAGCATTACTGCCCCCAAAATGGAATTTTTACAGAATTCATTAATTGACATGATTTCTGATATGCTTAAATCTAACTCCATGTTTGATGCTATTCAAACTGGGGTAAAATTTGCAAATAATATTGTCATGACTTTAAAATTCAGTAATTGATTTTGAAGCATTAAATATTTTAATTTGGAATGCTCGATCTCTTAAAGATAATGAAGACGAGCTATTTAACTTTTTGAGAGTTCATAACGTGCATATTGCCGTTATAACTGAAACGTTCCTTAAACCTGACCATAAAGTTAAGAAGGACGCAAATTATTTGATTTATAGAAATGATCGTCTGGATGGACCCTGTGGTGGCGTTGCCATCATTGTTCATAGACAAATCAAACATAAAATTCTTTCTTCATTTGAAACCAAAGTTTTTGAAACTTTGGGAGTTTCTGTTGAAACAAAATTTGGACAACTTACGTTTATAGCTGCCTATTTGCCATTCCAATGCGTAGGCCAGCAAAAGAATTGTCTCAAGGGTGACCTCCAGAAACTTACCCGTCATAGGTCTAAATTCTTCATTATTGGTGATTTTAATGCAAAACACCGCTCATGGAATAATGCTCAAAGCAATTCCAATGGTAATATTCTGTTTGATGATTGTTCTGCAGGTTATTACACTATTCAATATCCAAACAGCCCAACATGCTTTTCTTCTGCAAGAAATCCCTCGACTATTGATTTGGTCTTAACTGATTAATGTCAACTTTGTAGCCAATTGGTTACCCATGCTGACTTCGGTTCTGATCACCTTCCAGTAACTTTTGAAATATCCCAAGAAATAATTGTAATCTCAACAGCTCTACTTTCAACTACCATAGAGCTGATTGGGAGCAATATCGAACATTTATGGAATATAACTTCGATCCGAACATTCCTTTGCAAACCAAAGATGAAATTAATTATGCTCTTGAATCTCTGACTACTTCTATAGTTGAAGCAAGAGCTGCCTCAGTACCAAAATGCGAGGTTAAATTCGATTCAATTATAATAGACGATGATCTTCAGCTCTTGATCCATCTTAAAAATGTCCGTAGGAGACAATATCAAAGAACACGCGATCCTGCCATGAAAGTTATCTGGTGGGCAAAAACAAATTAAAAAGCGATTCTCTGTCCTGAGGAACAAAACTTTTGAAAATAATGTATTTAAATTACATCCAAGTTCCAAACCCTTCGAGAGTTCCCATAATTTCAGTTTGGGTCTTACTAGTCCTATTGAGGATCAGGTTGCTCGGGATTTTCTGAATATTTTCTCTCGGGAAAATATTTTTGATGATTCCTGGGGGACTGATTTGGACGAAGTATGGGCTATAAGTAAAAAGTTTCAAAGTATGAAAGCTCCAGGTGATGATGGAATTTTCTATATCCTCATCAAAAAACTCCCAGAGAGTACCTTGTCTTTCTTGGTAAAATTATTTAACAGATGTTTCCATTTGGCATACTTTCCTGATAAATGGAAAAATGCAAAAGTTGTTCCAATTTTGAAGCCGGATAAAAATCCAGCTGAAGCTTCTAGCGTTCGTCCAATAAGATTGCTTTCTTCAATAAGTAAACTTTTTGAAAAGATAATTTTGAATAGAATGATGCTTCACATCAATACGAACTCAATTTTTGCAGATGAGCAGTTTGGATTTCGCCATGGGCATTCAACTACTCATCAACTCTTAAGAGTTACCAATTTAATTCGTTCAAACAAATCTGAAGGCCACTCAACTGGAGTTGCTCTTCTAGACATAGAAAAAGCATTCGACAGTGTTTGGCATGAAGGTTTGATTGCTAAATTGAAAAAGTTTAATTTTCCACTTTATATTATGAAATTAGTTCAAAATTATTTAACTGGCAGAACTCTGCAGATAAATTATCAAAATTCCAAATCTAATCGACTACCTGTTAGAGCAGGAGTTTCTCAGGGTAGCATTCTTGGGCCTATATTGTATAACATTTTCACTTCGGACCGCCCTGATTTGCCTCAGGGTTGCCACAAATCTTTGTTCGCTGATGACACAGGCATTTCCGCTAAAGGAAGAAGTCTTCGTGTTATTTGCAGCAGACTGCAGAAAAGTTTAGACATTTTCTCTTCTTATTTACAAAAATGGAAGATTTCTCCCAACGCTTCCAAAACTCAACTTATAATATTTCCACATAAGCCTAGAGCTTCGTTTTTGAAACCTAGTAGTAGTCACATAGTCACTATGAACGGAGTTCCAATTTCCTGGTCAAACCAAGTGAAATATCTTGGATTAATACTTGACCAAAAATTAACTTTTAAAGATCACATTGAGGGCATTCAAGCCAAATGTAACAAATATATTAAATGTTTGTATCCTCTTATAAACAGAAAATCCAAACTTTGCCTGACGAATAAACTTCTAATATTTAAACAAGTTTTTAGACCGGCCATGCTTTACGCTGTGCCAATATGGTCTAGTTGTTGCACTACCAGGAAAAAAGCACTTCAAAGGATTCAGAAAGACAAAAGAAAGGAAAGTTCTGAAAATGATTTTGAAGTTGCCTCCCTGGTACAGTACTACCGAGGTACATAGAATTTCGAATGTTGAGACTTTATAACAAATGTCCAACAAAATAATTAATAATTTCAGGCAAAAATCGATTAATTCCCTTTATACTTAGATAAGATTTAGTTTTAAGATATCAATTGTTATACTGACATGCAGGTTTAAAAAACCTGTTTAAAATGTTGAATTGCCAGGACATGAACAATGTAAAAAGACTTAGCTATATATCATAACAATTAAGGCTGGTAAGTTACTGTAGTAACTGGAGCACCTAGGTTAAAATGAAATGTAATTTATTTTGAATTTGGAACAAATAAAGAGTTAAAAAAAAACAATGCATACAGGGTAAATGTTGGCTTCGGCACCCATTGACTGTTTTCGGCAACCAAAATTTAAACGTTAATTTCACTATGTTTTCCCATCAACGCACTTCCCTGAATGTGTCCAAACGATTGTTTAGCCTTTCAGCTTCAATCTGATTATATTTGAACGATCGAGCAATCCAGTAATGCTACATTTTTCTTCAACTAAAGCATACGCACTACAAAATGGGGTTGATTTCGAATTGCCGATAATAGAACAGCTGGTTAACACGCAGTTCTAATGGGAAGGTTGCCGAAGAAAAAGAGGCTGCCGACAATAGTCACACTCACCTGAGAAGTTTGGAGCGTTGTAAAAACGCTTTCAAAACGTTTTGAAAAATTCTGTCGATTGGAATGGATAGAAAAGCAAGCAGCAGATGAATGTAAACAAACAGACACATCATATATGTGCGTGACGCTGAGAAAATGCTAGTAGAAGTGCAGACGCTGCTTAGATTGACGAGAATACGTAAATTCCCCTATTATAATTAGTGTATAGGAAAATTGAAAACAAATTGTTTTGCGTTATTTCATAGGTGTGAAAAGTGAACAGTAAAAGTCTTCCTTCAACGGAATTCCCTGGCGGATCTACTTACTTGATTTTATTCCACAAGGTGCGTTTCCTCGAAAGTAACCCGGATGGTGGCAGTATTCATGAACTCCGTTGTTCACGTCGGAAATGCCTGCACTCTGTGGTCCACCAAAACAAACAAACGACTAAAAACCGTTTTCTAACCCCCGACTCATAGGAAGGTAGGCAAATTAATTGCTCTTCTGCCCACCAACTCGCGTTCGTCTCCAGTTGGCGGTATGTTAATTCCAAAAACTACTGCCAGCCAACGTGAGCAGCCAACATAAGTGAAAACACACATAAACTGCAGCACTTGGCCGCACAACGCTGACGCACGCAATTTGAGATGATATATATTTTTTTTATTGTTTTTCCTAAAAAAAAGCAGCTTTGTGCAGCACTTTCTTCTTTCCTACTAAACCAACCGATCCGAAGGTTTTATTCACGAAAAAAAAACATCAAAACGGCGCTAAACGTTTCTATTTCAACTATGGGTACATTTCGTTTCGGTTTTATGGATTGACATGCACTTTTTCCTCTGAAGTACCACCGAATCGCGAGACAGAAATAGCCGGTTGTTTTTTCGTTAGGTTAAATGTTTCACTTTTCACTGCAATTGCAATTGTTTCACCGTGATTAGATACACTTTTTAGCCCGATTGGTAATCGACGGTGACCGGTGAAGGAGCGATCATGTAGAACCTGAGCTCACGGTCCATCTCACTCTAATCAATGTTGTGTGTTGGTTGGGTTGGTTCCAGTCCAAGTCACGTTGGGGAGGATCGTACACTGTGCGGAGGAATCGCTAGAACCAGTTGGGATCAACAACCAATACCTGAAGAATCTGCGAGAGAGAATGTGTGTGTGTGCGCGATCGCTCGCCTTTGGGAATCAACCGGTCCTGGCGCTTTTTCTCGCTTCACGCTTCCTTCTTTCGGTTGCAGTGGAGCTATGTGCGAATACAGATTTTTGTTGTTGCTGTAAGAAACGGGGGAGAAAATGGAATGTTACTTGAAATAACGAAATTGCAACAAGAAAAAACATTTTTTTACAGAATTGAGTATAAAACTAAGGCTGGAAGTTAGGTTAAACGAACATAAAAAATAGAGTCCAAATAAGTCTAATAAATGTCCCACGAATATTGCATAACAGTCGCAATTGGTTTCCTTTCCATTTGGCATAAACCCAGTTAAGAATGATCCGTCAAAAACTTGGAGACTAATTTTTTTTTAAATCGCGCAATTCCCAATTTCTCTAAGAACCCATCACCGACCCACCCGTGCTAAAATGCGCCTTATTTTGAGCATGCATAAATCAGCGAAAGAATGTGCCCTGGCCAGCCATAAGAGGAGGTATCAGAAGGGTAGGTACCTTCGCCGGTGAGAGACACAAGATCATATACACACACATGCACTAGAAGCTCAGAGGATGAGGCGGAGGCTGGCGGGTGGCGGTTAGCGAAATTGATCTTCGTTTCGACCGTCGTCGTCGTCGTGAATAAGTCAAAAAGGTTGTTCGCTTAGTTGCGCCGATCGTGGAGGGCTTAAAAACTAAACTGGATTTCTTCCTTACCTTTTGCCACCACCGGTCGTCCAATGGCTGTTCACATATCCATACGAATGCAACTGGGAGCTGCCGTGGTGGTGGCGCGCCGGTTCTTCTCGGACTGGCTCGGTTTGTGTGTTTGTTGTTTTCACCGGTTTAAGAAATTTTTCAGCAGCTCCGGTTTTGCAACTTTTTCCCCAACCACGGCGAGCTTTTCGGAATGGTGGCCACCAGAGCTCGGTGAGTCGTAATTCAAAACTGTATGCGATGCAATGTTTGCACTCTGGCTTCTGTGTTATCGCGGTGCAGTTTGCTGAAGGTTGTGTTCCTTTTTTTTTTGATCCTGATGCAAGTGGAATCTGCCGGTTGATGCAGTCGAGTTTTTAGGTGCTGTAAAAGGAGAACCGATAGAAGGACATATAATTAATTCAATTATTCCAATCTGAAGCTGGTTTCGGGGAATTGGTTTTGATTTGGTGGTTGGTAGATTTTTCGGGATGTTCAGTGCATCTCAGCATTTTTTTTTATTGGATTAGAAATTGCATTTAAAGTCAGTAGTGACCCGATGTTGCAGTCCCCTTTTTGAAAACCTTTTTTTTTATGTTCGACGAAACCCATGCGCTTTTCAGTGGTCTTATTTCACCAAACTACTGTTAACTATCCCATTTCCGGCCTATTAAGTACAACCCGAACTTAGTCTTTCTTAATCCAGCGCAGTTTAGTACCAAACGGAATGTTATTATTACTGATGGCTTTCAAATTTATTTACCTTTCCGTACGTACTGTAAGATTTGATAAAAAGCAACCAATCGTTGAGATATTGTCAAAAGTCTAACACTGCTTCTTGACGCCAAACTCGGCCTAACGCATTGAAACGCCATTGAAACGCCACTGAAATCACTTCGGACTATCGGATGAAGTTAAAAATTGATTCGGTCGGAGCGCTTCTTTTGTTTTTGGGAATAATAGGTGCAAACCTTCATACCACGCGTTCTCATTGACTTCGTTCGGTAGCTTATTAATGGATTTATTTGAAGTTTTCTGCTCGATAGGCCCAAAATGGGCAATTAGGCCGAAGTAGTTCTCTACCCTATACCTTAAGCAACCATCCAATGCGAAAGATTTGGAATTACGGCAATGATAAATTATTGAAAAATAAAAGTCTGATACGCGAGGGGTCGACAAAATTGGGTCATTACTATAACTTTTATGTTGCTAGATTCTTAAGCTATAATAAGTTAAATTTTGCTCTACTTCAATTGATACTAGTTCTGCTTTCAAATAATCTGTAAACATTGCAAATTAGCAGTTCCAGGCCAAATAGCGAACACAGAAATAAATTTTTGGTTTTACTTCTCAGAATTCCATGAAACTTAGCACAATTCTAGATAGAGCTGGAATTAGGGCGTAACAGCTTTTGTAAACAATGACTTCTATCGATGATTTCTAGGAATTCAAGGCACGCCCATGCAGACCAACATAACCATCGGATAGGGAAAGTTTTTCCCTACCCGATGAGGATGTTGGTTTGCGTGCGCGAGCCTAGAATTTCTAGAAATCATCAAGAGAAGTCATGTTTACAAAAGCTGTTCGGCCATTTTGACTCTTGCTTAGTTTTTCAAAATGGCGTATTCGATATTTTCCAGGGGAAACGACACTACATGATCATCCCAACGTGCACAAAATATCAATCCATCCTATTTATTCTTTCTATTTCAAACTTATCCGTTCTGCATACACACCAACTGTCAAGCAAGACGTGCAGTTTCTCGCAGTTTTCAGGTCAACTGTGAAAAACTCTGCCATACTCACTGTCAGTTTTTACGACAGACCCCTCGTTCATAATCGGTTCCGGACACAAACCCATCGAATCCAGCGGAGAAGAGCAACCAGGTGTTAGAGTGTGATAGCATGGAAGATGCAGTAGTAGTAGAAGTAAAATTTACGTTTATTTTCTGGTTTTTTATGTTTCAACATTTGGTTTAACATTTCAATCGGTTAGCTTTTGGCTCTTCATCTTTGTACTAGTTAATTGGTTATTCTTATGTAATGATGGCGTTTACCGCTAATTTAGAGGATACCCTTTTAAGGGCTTATTTTCGTTAGAATTTAAAAATTTGATAACGTAGCTACTTGAGCACAGAAACCCACCTAACAACTTAAACTAGGTTGCCAAATCACGAATGATCTGGTGGTTTGTTCGCAGACAGGCGACTCTGAACCTTTCCAGCGTGGAAGTTTTTCGCTCCTCGAGTGTTTGAAGACCGGCCAGGTGGTGAATCTCAGAATTACGAGTTCGCGGTGGACTGTTAAGGATCATTCTGAGGATCTTGTTTAAGATCTTCTGAAGCTTTAGATGGTGGCACTTAGCACAACTCTCACAGATTGGCATACCATACATAATAGCCGGCGTCAACATGGGATCGGAATAGCAATGTGCTATCGAGGGTGAGATCAAGGTAGACTACTTCACTCGACCATTCAATGGGAGTGCAATCAAGATGGATCTTGACGTTAGCAGGTGGAACAAACCGAGGTGAATTTGAGTGTGGAAACAGAATGGTTTGTGTTTTAGCTGCATTGATACAAATCTTCCAGCTCTTGAAATAGTCGGACAGAGCATCCAGGCCGGATTGTACTTTAATTCCCAGAGCACGGATCACTCGACGCTTATAGATGATGGAGGTGTCATCTGCGAATATTGACAGGATACCACCACCCGGCAGGGGAGGAACGTCTGACGTGAAAATGTTGAATAGGATAGGCCCAAGCAGACTACCCTGGGGGACCCCTGCATCAACGTTGAACGTATCAGAGGGGACATTGTTCAAGTAGACCTGGAATGATCTGCCCGACAAGTAGTTTTTGATGATCTTCACGAGGTAGATCGGAAAGTTGTATCGATGCAGCTTGTTCACTAGACCATCATGCCAGACATTGTTGAACGCCTTCTCGACGTCCAACAATGCCATGGCAGATGCATTGGAAACGGATTTATTCCGCTTGATGATGTTAGTAACCCGTGCGATTTGGTGGATGGTAGAGTGGCCTTTCCTAAGCCCGAATTGTTCTTAGAGAAAGATATTATTATCCTTTAAAAACACCAGCAGTCGGCTGAATATCAACTTTTCGAATAGCTTCGAGATGGAAAAGATAATGATGGGGCGATAGCTTTTGGTACTGGTAGGATCTTTGCCAGGCTTGTGTATTGGAATCACTTTGGCTAACTTCCAGCATGCAAGGAAGTAGCCAAGCTCCAAACATTTGTTGAAGATAAGGGTAAGATAAGGGTTGAAAAAGTCAATACTCAAGTTTTTCAACTCGAGGTTGACTACACCATCCATACTAGCAGCCTTTATGTTTTTAGTGCTTCTAATAGCTGCTATCACCTCATCAGCCGATATTCTACTATCATCATGCACTACTACGGGGGTGTCAGCGACTCTAGACATTGCCTCCAGTACGGCAGGCTCATGGGGGTTCACTATGGTTTGCCCAAGATTATGTGAAATCACAAAATGTTGGCCAAGAGCATTGGCCTTTTCAACTGGGGTTATGAGTATGGATGGGTTCGAGTTCTGGTCAACAGAGGAAAGCGGAGGGATCGGTCTCGACTTATTTTTCAAAATTTTGGTCATCTTTCAAAATGGTTTTGCACAATCTGGGAGAGAGCGAATTTTGTTGGCAAAATCGTTATTTCTGAGTTCCACCATCCTGGCCTATATAATTTTGGTTAGCCTATTGACATTGGTCTTCAAGTGAGGCAGCCCAGATCACTGGAACTGCCTACGAATGGTGTTACGGAGCCTGATAAGATCTTTGATTGGGCTGTCACGGGATATCGCCTCTTCGATGCTTAATAGACACTGATCGACTTCTTCGAACGACTCCGGTAGGACGTCATAATCGATTGTTGTGTCCACACAGCGCTGATACTGCTGCCAGTTGACACGATGGTAATTTCGCCGGGAAACTTGATACTTATAGACCGAGGAACCTACTTCGGCCACCATCGGATGTGGTCCGAGCTCAGTTCCTGATAGGCGATAGGTTGAGAGATGTTGCTGATGAAGATGTTGATTGTGGCATGAGCTCCGGATCGACTCAACCAGGTGGGAGTGTCCGGACACAGGATTTTGTAGTGGGCTTCCTGCAGATCGTTGCACAAGATTGTGCCGTTCTGGTTTCGCCGACTATTGCCGCAGGCTTGATGCTTGGCGTTCAGGTCGCCAGCGATGATGAAATTTTGCCACCGTCATGTTAGCTTGATGATGTCTCTTCGGAGGTCTGCGGCCGAGCCATCCCTAATCTTGTTTTGCTTGGGGCAGTAGACCACGATGATGGACCAAGCGATGTGCTCACCTCAAATCCGATGGCTTCGATAATTTTCAGCTAGAAGCTTGGTAATAGCCGGCAGCTGATGTTTCATCTCGCAGCGACGGCCACTCCCCCTCCTGCGGTCAAGCCTTACGAGCCGAAAGTCAGGAAGGAAGACGTTCAGCTCGGGCTTCAAGTGCGTCTCGGTGATGACGGCTATGTCGATGTGCCGTTCGTTGAGAAAGTCAACAAACTCGATGTTTTTGCTCTTCAAGGAGCAAGCATTCCAATTTACGATCTTGATGGCTTCCCGGTCTATACTTAGTGACAATGGACAGGGCAGCATGTAGCTGTTCAGATCGAGTCTTGCAGGTGCGCATGACGATGATGACCTCGGCCACGAGCGTCACAAACTCCTCCGAGGTGAACGGAGAATCTTCGACAGGTTCACCTGAGACAGCACCAGCGTATGATAAACCAGGGGCGGTGGATGAACCTGGATTTGGCTGGACCGATGCTGAACTGTTCGACTGTTGGGAACCATTTGGATACTCACAGGATTGGCTTGTTGTTTGTTGAGTGGAAGCGGGGCTAGGTTCGGAACATGTCGACGGGGCTGGGTACTGGACTTCCGTGAGTACAGGAGGCGAACGATGATTACGGAGGCGACCGAGCTGGTTGTTGATTGTAGCCTTCCGACGGATATTAATGAACTCCACTCGCTTGGGACATCCGCGATTGGAGGCTTGGTGGTTTCCACCGCAGTTGACACACGTTGGCTCGATGTAATCAACTTGCTCACAGGACGCAGTTGAGTGAGTTCCAGCACACTTGCCGTAGTTTGTCTTCATAAGGCAGTTTTTGGTGCAATGGCCATACACTGCGTAACATCACAATGTTGGGGTTTGTAATGCTCCCAACTGATGATGACTTGAAACAGGTCCCGGATTTTGGATCTCAGAGCCGCAAGACTGGTGGATCCCTTCGTGAAGTGCACAAGGAGCAACTTGTCACATGAGCACATGATTTTGGTACCGATGCTGCAAAGCTTGAAGCGAGGCTGCAGTTTGTGT